CCTCCCGCTCCCGCGGCCTCCCACCTGCGCCCGGCCCCGCCCTCCCCACGCCTGGCCCAATGGCTTCATTCATTCCTCCCTGGGCGCTCTACAAATATTTACCGAGTGCCCACCATGTGTCCTGTACCTGGACGGACGCCGCAGGGGTGCAGAGAGAGGAATCCGAGGCGGCCCTGCCCTCTCGGGACTCGCACTTGGAAGTGGCCAAAGTGAGACTTGGGAACCTTTGGGCTGTGGCGGAAAGTACCAGGGAGGGAGCGCGGGAATCCGAGAAGGCTCCTCGGAGGTGGTCACCCTTGGACCTGGCTCTTCTCTCGTCCTTCTGGAATACTTCATTTGCTCCAGTCATGCAGAGCCCCCTCTTCACACCCACTCGGCTGCCAGCTCTGCTGCCCTGGCCATTCCTCCTCAGGGGACGTTCTTTCCCTGCCCCTCCCCCCTCAGGTGCCACTTCCTCTGTGAACCTTCCAGGACGACGGGCAGAGATAATGTAGAGATAAGGTTATTTCCCTACTACGGACATTAATTTTATTTTCTACACGTCACTCCCCGAAACACATACACAAACACTCACATACACACACACAGAGTCTATGGTCTCACACACACACACACACACACACACACACACACACACACCCGCCCCGCCCTCCAAGTCTAGCACCCTGAGCGTTCAGATTTGGCCTCTAGGCTTTTTACCCCAGTATTTTGAACCCCGAGCCGGGGGAACCCCTGATGTTACAACTCTCTTGAGTGCATAAACTAAAATTTGAAATTTGGGACTAGAGAATGCCCCACCCTCTCCTCTTGTGAGGGGGTGTGTTTCCAAGGGCATCTTATCCTGACCCAAGTCCCTTAGTGGCTCACTGTTGGACACCACCCCCAGGCCCAGACAGGGCTGAGGAGCAGGCAGCCGGCCATTGTACCCAAGCGCAGGGAAGGAAGGCCCCAGACACTGCTTCTGGGCCTCCAGTGGCTTGCTGTTCCTTGTGGCCTCAGGTTTTTCAGCTGTTTTCACCCGGAATGGCAGTGGGTCTATGGGATGGTGGCCAGGCTGCCCTGCTCTCCCAAAGGTGGGCTCCGAGAGAACCAGGGGAGTCTGAGGTGAAGAGTGGAGGGCAGAGTTTGGGGAAGGGCGTTGTGTAGGAGCCCCTCTTAGAGTTCTAGGGTGAGAAGGGACAGTCTGATGAGAAAGCCTTCTGCAACTGAGGAACATCCCCATGGGGATTTTAGACAAGAGAGGCCTGCAGGTCTTAGCCCAGGCTGTGGGTGCCACCAGACGGGGTCCCTGGCCAGTGCAGACCCCTGAGAGACCCATTGCTGGACCTGCTTCTCCTTGTGAACTAAGGCCATGTCGGCTGTGAGCTGGTGTCTGACCTCTGGTCACCATGTTACAGTTCTTGGTAATGAATAAACAAAAGGGCCCTACTTGCACTTCAGAATACCCTGTCGCCAGCCTGGATGCCACATAATAGAGCCAGGCAGGAGGACATAGCAACAATGAGGAAGCCAGGATGGTACTCTCCATGACAAGCTGTTTCTTAGGCCCCTGGAAACAACAGGGACCTCAGTAAGGTTTGGGAACAGGAGAGGGGCACTTGTCTCCTTCTCTCTTGGGCCCTGGCACAGAAGCCAGGCAGGGGAGGCACTCAAGAGAGTAGCGATGGGACATCTGGTTGGCCTTTGGGCAGAGGAGGACACCTGACCCATGAGCTTCAGGGGAGGACACCAAGTTAAGGTGTACTGCTCCAGGGAGCCCCTTAGTTCAAATCCTTGCCTCCATCTTCAGAAGCCTTTCCCTAGCAAGCAAGGGGAGGGCATTGCAGAGGGAGGAGCAGGTCTGGGTGCCACCAATTTGCACACAGAAAACACTCTTGTGAGGGATTCTTCTGGGCTCCTCTACCAGAAAAGGCCCAAGGGAAGGATCCCAGTGTGTCTCTCGCTGGGCTCTCCCCTGAGGACCCCCTCCCACACACACAAAGCAGATGCCTGCTCACGGACTCAGGCATTATGCTGGCCCGCCCCTATTATCTGGCAGAATGCACTCAGGCAGTACCCTGGTCAGCCCAGGGTTCCATGAGTAGTAGTCTGCACTCAGGTGTAAAGGACCCCTTTAAAGGACAGACCCCCCTCGGGGGCTCTCTTACTCTCTTCTCCCTTCTCTCTTGTTTCTTCTCATCTCTCCCCCTCTCCCTCTCCCCCACTTTATTAAACCCTATGGTTAATGTATCTCTCAGTGCTCGTGTTCCATAGCCCGCTTTCTAATTTAAACAAAAGAACAACACTCCCCAAGTCCCCCTTGGTGGATGGTAATCGACCCAACGTGCCCAGAAGGCCAATGTCTCAGGGGTGGACCATGAAAGGCTGCCCCTTTCCCCAGGCCCCTCCTAGGTCCCCAACTCCCAGAGACCACCTTTTCTCCTTCCTCAGCAGTGGAGATGAGATTCCCTCTGATCTCTCATCACCCCCTAGTCAGCTTTATCTGTCAGTCAAACTCTGCAGGGGGAGGGCTCTCTTCTGTGTTTCCTCTTCCTCCCAGAGGAGTCCCGAAGACCTCAGCAGACCCCAGCTAACTTCCTGGATGATGGAGCTAACAAGCACGACAGAAACATACCTGGAGCTCTCAGACCATCTCAGGCAAGGCTTTGGGGATGCTTGGGGACATCCGTGTGGGGAAGAAGTGACAGCCTGGGCTTAGGGACAGTGAAACTGGCCAACTCCTGACTCAGTTTCCCAGTCTATAAAATGGGGACTAGGAGCTTGTGACTCCCAAGGTTGCTTGAGGACTTACGATGCCCCCACATGCAAAGGGATCTGCCAGGTGCCTGGGCTACAGAGGACATCCTTGGTAAATGTAAGTTGTCATCTGCTAAGACGGCAAACACCCCTAGAGGAAGCTTCTGGCACTTTGAAATGAACAGAACTTTCCATGGCGTTCTGCACGGAGGATCAAGACAAGCAAACAGCAATGGTGTGACAGGAGAGGAAAGGAGGCCCAGCCAATGCTAAGGCTAAAGAATCCGGGTCCCCTGCCAGCTTCTTATTGTCTCCCAGCCCCCATCCCAGGCCAGCCCTCACCCAGGGACTTCCTGAGCAGCCAGGCCCTGACCCACACCAGCCCCACCCCCACCCCGTCAGGGCACCCAGCACAGGCTCCACAGTGTAATGTGATCCCCCAGGCTGCCCCACACCTGGGCCACCTGGGCCTGGAGTGGAGGGGTGTCATTGTGTCTGGAGGCTGCTCTCTCCAGCCAGCCTCCCAGGGCCGGGCATGGAGTTTTCATCTGGTCACACCCTGCAGGGGTGATTTTGATCCCAACAGCATATGTCTCCAAGGCAATAAAAGAGAAATTCCAATGCTGTATACATTGTGGAGCAAGATGGGTCTCATCTTCAACTGCGGAGTCTCATTCCAGCTGTCTGGGGAGTGGGAGCTGAGCCAACCTAGGGGTGCCCTACACAGCTAGGAGGTAAAGGCAGTTCCCTCTGCCCCCACCCAACCTGGTCAAGGCCCGGTGACCTAGATCTCAGACCCAAGGTCAAAAGCAAGCTCTCCTCACCCTTCCATCTGCATCGAATCCCCTCTCTCTCTCTCTCTCTCTCTCTCTCTCTCTCTCTCTCACACACACACACACACACACACACACACACTCACACACACTCCTGTGTGCCTAGAGCACTCCCACACAGGGGAACTTACTTGTGCACACCTGCTATGCCTTTCTTCCTGGCAAACTTTTGCAGCAGCAGCAGCTCCTGCTGTGTCCATGCCTCCTGCTGGCTCTTTGCAAACCTAAACAGGAATAAGAAACTCAATAGCTATCACCCATCAGTCCAGTAACCAAAAGACCCCAGTTCTGAGGACCATGAGGCAGGAGGATTGCAAGATCCAGGCCAGGCTGGGCTACACAGAGCCTATTGCCAGACAGAAGGAAAGCTGGCCAGGAAGATGACTCAGTCAGGAAAGTACAACCCCAGCATCCACAGGAGGGATCTCACTGCTCACCGCTGGGCCTGACAACCTGGCCCATTTGTGGTTCCCTTGGGAACCCTGACTCAGAAACAAAGTCGATAGCTCCTCAGGGACATACCTGAGGTTGACCTTTGGCTTTTACATGCCCTCACACACACACACACACACACACACACACACACACACACGGAAGAAGAAAAAAAAAGAAAGGAAGAGAGAGAAAAGGGATGGAAGAGAGTGAAAAACCTTATCACAGTTCCAAAACAGACAGGCCGCACCACCACCGTACACACAGGAGCTGGGATGGTTTCCAGGGTTTGGCAAGCGATGAGCCGTCAGGATGTGGGGGACAGGTGGGTGAATACTTTGTTCTGACCATCATGGCTGTCTTTCCTTCTGGAGAGAGACCAGTGTGGCAATGGACATTAGCTGCCTTTGGTTGCACTTTAGAGGGAGCCCTTTCCTCTCCTTCCAGAAGGTGACAGAGAGCCTCTGACCCACAGGACACTCTGGGCGGCCGTAGCACCTGCTAAGACAGTATTGTCTCACACTTCCACCTCAACATGAAACAATCGAGAGGCTGAGAAAGACCAGCCCAAGGTCCAGCC